CCTCTACTTTTTAAAAGTGATTATTTTGATCCTTATTCAAAATTTTAACATAAATTTTATACATGATGAAAATTCTTTAATACAAATTTATAGTTACATTTTAAAAAATTTAGTGATTGGAGTGTCATGCTAAAATATTGATAAAAATAAATGAGATGAAAATAAAAAATGAAGGGATAAAAAAATAGTCACTTTTTAGAAGTCCAAATACCAAAACTAATGTTTTGAGAGTACCTAGACTAAAATAAAAGAGATCAAAATAGACTTTTTGAAATTACAGAACTAAGTTTCTTGGGGATGGCACAGTGGCAAGAACATTGGGTCTTGTATCGCTTATCAACATAGTTCGACGGTAATTGACATATATCTTCAATCAAGAGATTGTGAATTCGATCCTCACCTCACACGTTGTACTAAAAAAAAGCTATATTCAACTACAAAAACCGATCCATTTACAAATGTTTTATAAGAATTTAAAGGTCAGTAAAATATTGCTAATATAAACATAAATATTAATAGTAAAAGTTTTAAACTTACTTGAGAGGTGAGAAATGTTATTAATTTTTATATTTTTTAAAAATATTGAATGTCATTCACACACCTTGATATTTCTAGTGATATCAATAAACATTCACATGTATGACTTTTATATTTTGTCCTAATATTTGCGAGCACAAAAAAAAAAGTGATTGATATTGTCCTAAAGTTCTTTATTTTGTAATATTTAAAATTAAAAGCTTTGAATAATGTAAGACAAATTTAAGACAAATTCTTTTTTAGAAAATTGCAATAAATAGGCATTTTGTTACGAGTATTGTTTTTTAGTCACTCTTTTCAAAATTTATGTTTTTTAATCGTTGCTGACATCACCCTCCTAGATACCAAATGAGTTTCTCTACTCCTTTACTCTCTCCTTTCTGGCCCTCCCCCTCTTCTCGCTTCCTCTTGCTCTGTCTCTCTCGCTCTCTTTCGCTCTCTCTCTCTCTTCCTTTGTCTCTCTATCCTATCTCTCTCTCATCTCTCCTCAGCGGAGGGATAGTAAAGTCATTTGATATTTGAGTGACGTCAGCAAATACCTAGAAAACTTATATGTTTTGAAAATGGTGATTAGAAAACAAAAAAGGTTGTGGAGAATGTCTATTTCGTCAAATTTCCCATTCTTCATAATTTTAGAAAATAAGTTTGTTTACTTTATTCTATTTTTTTATTTTTTTCGGTAATCTATGTTTTACAGACACTTTTAAAATTCTAAACGAATATGAAAAATTAAGAAAAGTTTTTTTTCTTAGATATGTATATGTATATATTTTGCTTTTGAAATTTGATTAATTTTAGAAGTTTTTTTGAGTAAAGAAAAGATATTAAAGGGAATAACCTCATGATCAGATCAAACACGATGGCTCCTGTCTAAAGTAAAATTTTCTTCCCATCTATAATTTTCTCTCTATAATTCAAAGATAAGAACACTCTATCAAATTCTAGTGATATGTTTGTCAAAATTAATCTACGTTAATCTTAACTTATCATACCATAATTTGGTGTGCTAGGATCCTAACTTAGAATTATTATTTTTCAACGTTGTTATCGACTAACACCCAAATTCTCATAAAAATGTGAGAAAATACAACCATAAATGAAGACAAAAGAGAAAAGGGCCTACAAATTTATGAAGAAAAGTTCAAAACTTAAGCTGATAAAAAAAGGTTTCTACTATGCCATATAAATCAATATAAGATCGAAAGGGATTCAATATTATGCTTTAAAAAAATTAGCATGCTCTCGATGGACAACTCGGTTGGCAAGAGTTTGAGGTCTCTTGGTCATATTAGCTTAGAGGTCTCAAGTTCGACTCCTCGGTGATTTTCAAAACATAAATATGTTGGGCTAAATTGTGAGAGAAATCTAGATTAAGGCTTTTTGTGAGAGAAATAGGGTTGGGCCATATGATAACCCAATAGCATTGAAGATTATGATTTATGATATATATATATATGCAACACATTTCTTTCTTTTTTTTTTCTTTTTCCTTCTTGAGTATGGTATCTGGGGTGGGCGGAAGATATTTGCCAATTACAATTGAGTTATGTTCGCTTTGGCATATTTTACTTCATTTATCTCTATAAGTGGAATATAGTATATGATATGACAAGATTTAATTTGGTGTTCATATCTTTTTTTTTTTGTTATCCGTGAGTGTCCTGACTAGCTTACGTGCATCTCGATTAATCTCACGGGGCAACTGTCTGACCCTACAACATTTGATGTCGGGAAACACATAGGAATTAATAATTCCTAAGATAGGTGGCCATCATAGGGTTTGAACGTTCCCTCTTAATTACCCTTTTATCTCTTTCAGTAATTATTAGGAATTAATGTATAGTATGAAGTTTAGATGAGATCGAGTTCAAACCATGATGACAACTTACCTAAGATTTAATATCTTACGAGTTACCTTGGCAATCAAATATAATAGAGTCAGTCGGTTGTCCCATAAAATTAGTTGAGGTGCGCACAAACACACTCACTGATATTAAAAAAAAAAGTAATTATTATGAATTAAAAACACTACTATTATGATCAAAAGCTACTTGAAACACATTTTATCCTTTATATACCATTGATGTCTTTTGGGGGTACTTTGTACTTATCAAAATTACTTCCATCGGATTCATAAGAATATGGGCAACATTTTTAACTTCCTACACATGAATGTTCATGTTTAGCTACACTTTAACTATATTTTGTCATAGTTAAAAACACTTTAAAAGTGTTAAAAGGTATATAAGTTAGTGGTTGGTGTTAGTCAAAATGTGATAAGTGAGTTTGTTCTATTTGCCGTGCCTCGAAGAAGAGGAGTTAGGCTAGATAAGAGCAAAGTTTCGATGTGCCTTGGAGTGGACGAAAGAAAAATAAATTTAGACGATTTAAATCTTTTTTCGTACAACGTATTAGAGTAGACATTCGAACTCACGATCTTAATGCATTGATCCATTGAACTATGTTCAGGTTGACTTAAACAGTTTAGATTGAAAACGAATAATATCACATCATTATAGAAAAAGCGCGAGAAGACACCCGAAAACATATTCTAAACTAGCACCAAATACACATGAAATTGCAATGTCCTTGTGGTTTGGATTTTGTTAGCGAAACTTCCAAGGGGATTATGATAGGGACAATGGCACATGCTCTCCCATGTTGCATGTTTATTAGATTTGAATGTCATTCTCCATTTGGTTTTATTGGTCATTTTTTGCCCTTTTTCTTCAATACTAAGGTTGTCTCCTTCGGTAGAGAGGGGGAAGGGGAGCCTTTTTATTTGGAACTTGATTGATTTTAATCCATTGTTGGAAATGGAATTTATAAATAAATGTCAATCTTTCATTGGTGGTTGAGTTTGGATTTTTATTTTTCTATTTTTACATGTAGCATGTTACAAATTTTATATCCTTACTTAATATTATAGTCATTTTGATTGATAAAATCTAATTAATTTATTATTTTTTAGTACAACAAATATGGGGATAGGAGATCCAACTTCTGAGCTCAAGAAAAGAGTAAGATGCCTTAATTGTTGAGCCAAATTCATTTATTGTTATTATTTTCCAATCTCTTTTTCCCTACTCATCTATTTCAAAATAATTTATGTATAAAAGATTTAAATCTTATTTTGCTTTGAACTTTCGTACTTATTTCATATCAGTTTTCAACTTTCACATATATTGTTTAAGTTTTTCAACTTTTGGACAGTATTTTAGTCCCTCAATTTTGCATAGTAAATAATTTTAGTCGCAACTGTTAATTATTCATTAATTATTAAAGATGAACCCAAATTTATATGGAAACCCAACATCTAATCTACTAAAAAAAATGGCTTCAAATACACCGACGTCTTCACATTATATATCACACTAATACATTAATATTATGTAGCACATTACAATATTAAGAACTTAAGTATGATCTGTATTTTAATTTGTCCACATAATAGCCCCTACAACTTTAATTTTTCAGTAAATATGAATGTAAAAATTAGCTTGAAAGAGAAATGTACAATTTATTAAGAGTTCAATAAAAAATAACGTAAGAATAATATTTACATGTTAATGCTAGCCTAAACTTAACTTAACCCGCACTAACATGATAATAGTTTAACAAGATATTAGTAACCTTTCATATAAGCTTAAAGCTCAAATCCTCATCATGTATTTATACCAATCAACTGATTAAGACATGTATTTCGAACTAAAAAGTCATGAGTTCGAATGTCCACCCCTACACGTACTAAAGAAACACCTAAAAATATGCAAATTAGTTCATGTGAATAAATTGATGGTCACATACTAACTTTCCCAATCATAAGCTCTAGCATCTAAAGTAGCTGTAGAAGCTAGAATTAAGGGTGTGTTTGAAAGTGATGGTAGAATAAGTGATTTTGAAAAAAGAGATTTAAACATAATTGATTTTTCAAAATCACTATCCAAGTGATTCCTTTAAAACAATTTTAAGCTTTCTTAAAATCAATTTTTGAATTTGTCAAACATTATCAATAAAAAGGAACGTGGTTTTGACTATGACAAAAGTGATTTTTGCATGCAAACACATCGAGGAAATTTACAACCATAACAATAAAGAATCTTCAAAAAAAAATCCACCAAGGATTCTCAAATCAAGGCAGGAATCTCTACCAACCAGAAATAGAAAGCATAAAAAAGAAGAATAACAATACTTAGATGTTTACTAGTCAACGCCCATCTTTGTACTGACTACTCACAAAAATTTGACAACTTTGAAAAGTAGAAAAATATCTATTTTCTGCGTTTCTTTCTCCTACTTGCAAAAAGTTTAATGATAGTTAGCAAAAATAGTAATGAACGGTAACACCCGAGTATTTTGCTGAGAAGAAAAAGGAAATACTCAAAGAAAAGAGCGAGAAAACAACTGGCATCCACGTGGGGTCAATTCAGAGAGGAAAAGAAGAAAAGGATGAGAAAGAAAGAGAAGACCAAAGAAGCAGATTATTTATTCTGATGGGTGTGGGGAACAAGAACATGGCTTTCTTTTCTTATTTTCTTTCACTGTTATTCTCATGTCAGCCAGCCAAGCACTGCATACTTTAAAAACTCTCTCTCCAGGAATATTTGAAGAAATCCCCACAAATAAAAAAGACTCTGTAGTCTGTAACCACCATATCTTTCTGCAGTTCATCACCATAATTTCCAATCCTACACGTGAATCCCTCACCACCCATTTGTTTTTACACTCTCTCTATCTAATCTCCCTCTAATGTCCCGAGAGAAATGGACATAATCTTCTCTGTCTCAGATTCAGAACATACTTTCAGAGCATCTGTAAGACAAAACAAAAGAAGACTAAAAAAACAGCTTCCAAAAGAAAAACAGTTTCCTAAAGAAAATTTCACAGAACCTTGTCTGAACTCCTTCAGAAACCAAACCATCATATTTTCCATGCATATGGTTCATCTAGTCTCCTCTACAAATACAACACAACTTAAAGTGAATAGTGATTAAGAAGCTTTAATCAAGAAAAGATGAAAGTTGTTTGCCAGTTACTGAGCACAGATAATTATATCTACAGAATGTAAATAGCACAAGACCTGAGTGAAAAGGAGCTTTCGGATATTATTGCCATGATCATTCATCATAAGAAACATGGAAGCTGGTGGTGCAGCCTGACGCCTCTGGGTCCTCAGCCCCACAACAGTCGTAGAATTTGGCAGCATACGGCGGGTCGTCGGGTCCCAATTCATAGTACCTTTGAATCAATCAACTGAAAAAATCAGACTGCAAAACCAAGAGAGCAAATTCAATAGTAAAAAGAAAACAAACAACGTTCTACATTTACTGTAGTGTATAACTCTCGTCAATGTCAATAAATTTTTTCTTTTTTAAATGTTTTGAAGAACGTAAATATTTACACAAACATAAATAAGTATTATAAAATATGATATGGAACTTCCATGAGAGATCTGCCAACTGAGAAATTCCTGCCAACTTTAAAAAGAGAGAAGAGACGAGGAGTAAAAGACAAATTAGGACAGAAACGTCAATTGTAGAGGCATCACACCCTGTTCTAGTTCACCATTACACACAAAGGTTTTTTTTAATCCCTTTACAAACTGGAATGGGTTATAAAATTGATGTGCGTTTTCTTTTCAAATTTTTTTATTCAACACAAAAAACGCATAAAAAAAGGGCAAACCAAATGAGTTATTCCAAATATAAGAACTCTAATGTCCCATTTAAACAAGTTTTGACTTCTGACAAAATAGAAGTTAATTTTCACACCAGACATGAAATTTCAGCTGACAAGACAACATCCCGTCCATCACTCCATCAAATTCAGTATTTGGCATCCAAATACAGCTCTTAAAACTCCAAACCAGTGCAAGTTCAATCATGGGATGATTTCCATTCCCACCACTTCTTATTGTCACAAGTGTGATTAAGTTTGGTGACATCTTTCAACTAAGGAAATGAGAAACAAACAACTCATGTAATCATGTCATGCAAATTTATGTGCATCACGCTGACTTGGTATTCTAGGGGAAAACCAGCTCACATGACTCAACCACCTATACTTCAATAATGGAAGCCTAAAAATAACTAAACTGTTTATTTAATGTTTTAACTAATTATAGGCAGATGATTCGTTTTATTTTTAAATTGTCAATCTTCTAACATCAGTCAATACTTATATCATGGTACAGAGAGATAAAATATTGACCTCAAACGAAAAATTCATTGAAGATCTGATTATGATATAATCAGAAGAACTTGAAATAAAAAATGAAAATTTAACCATAGGACTGAGCAAATGAATAGTTTAGTCAGACTAAAAAAATAATAATAATAATTTAAAACTAAATATCTATTTCAGAAAACATCATAAATAATAAGATAAAAAGAATTTAACCAGAAGAAATAACTAGGAAAGCAATTGGACTACAACTCTACTGACTACTACAAAGCCCACTAGCTACTACTAAATTCAACCATAATACAAGCAATTTTTAGAAACACATTAAATATCTACAATTTTAACACATGCTTATTTGATATTTCGATACATCAATTTATTCATATACTTCTAAAATGCCTAGACAGGATTGATGTGATGTTTCCATCCCACATTTATCTGACATTCACAAAAAAGATATACAATATTTAAAGGGACTTATCCATGCATCATATCATCCACCGTAAAAAACGTAAATTAAGTTTTTTTTTTCCCCTTATGAATCACAAGTGTTGAAACCAGCTTTTGTAGACAAGTACATAATTCTATAATCTTCAGTACTAAAAAACTCATATAATTATTAATCTCCAAGTGAAGTAGCAATAAATACTTAAATTTGGTTGGCTTAGTATTGACCATTAAGTCCTGATAAATTTATGGAATGTGGTGCGCAGCTGACATCTTGGACTTTGATCATTCAAATTGATGTCCAGAAATAATCTGATCTCTACATGATCACTAGGTTAAAAATTATAAACTACGATCAGAACCTACAGTACAACCTTCGATGGGGAAAAAAAAACATAAATTTTGATATCTAAAGCTAAATTGGTCTTGAAAATTTGAATCCCCTAATAATAATCTGATCATTTCAATGTCACTTATCTAAATATTCTTATTTTACCTCATAACAAAAGCATATCAATGACAATGAAATATCTCGTTGCAGCATTTCAAACTGGAAACATCTACTTCCCAATTAAAAAATCAAAGGATCCGAATCGGATGACTGAAGTCACCACGAACCAATACTTCATCTCAATCTGTAAGCAACTATATTGAAGTGAACCAAAATCAGATTCTTATAACTATCAACCTCTCTAAGGCTTTCCTACTGCCCAACGATTTAACACAAAATAAGGATAAGTGAATGCAAACATCAAGAATTTGAAACTAAGACATATAATGCAAATGCAAATGCAAAGTGAATGGACACCCCCTTTCCTCCTCCCAATAGTCAGGTCCTGAACTTGGTAAATAATCAACATGTGACTGGTTCCTCCAAGCACCTCATGTTTAGGGGTGTTAGCATGAGGAACGTCCACCGGGGGTTGATTTAAAGTATCCAATATGATAAATGATGTTGCATTTATGGGAAACAAAACTTAGTGCCATTGACAATGGTTCAACAACAGTCGAATTCAATCACTAAGAGAACATGAATTTGCACAATAATAAATACAATTCTAGTTCGCAAATTACAGGTTCTTGTAGTTCTCTTTGGAAACTAATTTCCTCAAGGTATTTCCTATTTCTCCAATTCCATCAAATGTTAAGTGGTAGTGTATTTAATTTTAATTTTGATGGGGAAAAAGGGGATACAAATTTCATTGAAAATTTGATGTAGAGGATATTCTGCAGAGGGGAGAAACGATGCCATATCTTCTTCCCCAAAGATGTGCCATGAGAGACAAAGAGTGCAGAGATATCAATTTTCTATGTTTTCCCACATTGCTGTTTTCCTTAAATATTTGAACTGTTTTCAACATTTTGAATTAATTGGGTCATACCTCTACAAATTGGATTCCTTTTTGTTCAATACTTTTCACTAAAATAATTCTACCAAATGAAGTAAAAGAAAAACTGCAGAATTTGTTGTAAGACTTGTTCGTCAAATTTATGCAAACTTCCACGTTACGAAAGAGAAGAAATGAAGCAGAGAAGCAGACAAGTGATAAGTGTGAAGCTGAAGCAAGACCAGAAAATTTAAAGCGAGAGGTGTCTTTTTTTTAGGAGAGATTCCTTGGTACAAAACCAGATGTTATTTCTTCTACTAGGAGCTCTTTGGTACAGTTTTCCAATCATATGCATGCAAATTGGGTTATAATTATCTTTTGACCGCTGAAATTATCAATTTAATCAAATCGTAAATGAAGGTGAAGTATGAGCACTCAACCGTATAAATCAAGTTTTTTTTTTTTCTTTTTTCCATTTCGAGATTGCAGATTGCATCCCTTCGAATAACCATACACAAAAAGCAGCTACTCAAATCATTTGACTCCATATGCTAAGAACAAAAAAAGGGACAAAAAATATTATAGAACTGTTTATAAAATTTCAAAGCTCAAAAGAAAATTTGGCAAACATATATTTTTTATCTGGTTATGCCAAGGTCCAGCATCCTGAATAACTTAACATGGAGTATCATAGATTACAGACTTGAAATCATCTATCCCACTAATCCTAGTCCCAAAATTCAATTACTCTTTTCCCATAAGATCCTAACATTATTTAAACCTAACCTAAATATAGACTCACTGAATACAATAGCTATACTGAAACTATAAAATTTAAAAGTATTACAAACTACATACTGAATTCAAAGTGCAAACTGTAAATGACTATTGATTGCAGACTGCTGGGGAAATATAGATTCACTCCTTTTGGTTTCTTTCAATTTTCTTAATGGAAACAGATATCCTAGCACGAAAACAAAACAGCAAAAGAGAACTCTGCATTTGCATCTTGAACTTGACATTTTAATAGATAATCTGTTCTGGAATCCAATGGAATCAATTGTCAGGCTGAACTAGCAATTCTAAGTCTTCCAACAATCAAACCGCAAATCACAAACTTGCAATTTTTAATACAATTATGTTTCTCCTCGTTGAAACAACTAAATCAAGCTCAATCGGTAATTTCGGAAATCCAATGGAACTTTCAACAAAGTGGTTGATTTCCGAAATAAAACAAATAAATGCTCACAGAGAGTAGTTATTGTACACTGACCGTCCAAAGCCAGAATATCGTCGTGCTGAATATTATGAAAGCATGTTCCATCAAACTAATTGGCATCCCGTTTTCCATACTTACTTTCACTTTCTTCATCAAAATTAACAACCAAGCAGAAAATGATAAACGTAGTAATCTCTCCCATGCCAGCACAGAATTACTCCAATACTAAATTCTAGCAAATCACTTCAAAACAATAGCATGACGCCTAAACCAATCAGAGTGGCTCAAAAACTCGAATAACACACAATGAACCCACTCAACAGACAAAATCCCAATTCAACAAATGAAATTTGCTCAAATAGGGCAAAAATCAGATCAATTGAACAGTCTCCAAGGAGGAACCAACAATCTGTTGATATTCGATCAATGATGGAAGTGAAGAATGGGAAGATTTTCCGTTACCTCTTTTGGTCGTCGTGGCGACGACAGACGAAGAAAGAAGGATGGAAACGGCATGAAGAAGATGAATTAGAAGATGGAAGATAGGAGCGATTACACCTTCGGCAAAGCTTCGCCAAATCCTGAGATTGAGCCGACTCGCTCTGTTTCTCCATTCGAACACAAAAGATGGTTCGCGCTTCGTTCTTCTTCTTCGTCCTTCGCAAAATGATAAATCGCGAAAAGAAGATGCGATTATCATCTAAGATCAGCAATTTTAAGTTCAATTCAGCAAAATTAATCACGTTAAATTAAAATTTAGATTAAATTAATATTTATGATTTACAATTAAAATGAATTGCGCTAGATTAAAAAAAAAAAAGAGTTTTCCCCGATCTTTAAAAAATTTTAAAATGGAAAAGAATTGATTTTGATCATACATATTTATGTTCTTACAAATTGGCTAAATTTGGAAAATGAGCCTTTACTTTTTTAAAGGGAGAGATGAGTCCGATCAACTATATTCCTATTCACTAATTGATTTCTACTTCCTATCTAATAAATCTTTGAATCTTAAAAATTTTACCATTTAAATTTTTTAACTGTTTAATCGATTTTGATATATTCAAAATTTAATAAATCTATCTATTTGACATTAAATTTGAATTTTGTGTTTATTAAGACTTTCAGTTTTCAATTTTATATTTAATAAGTTCGTAAATTAAAAAAATATGTCAATTAGGTCGAGAATCTTATTAGATATAAAATTAATAAATTCAAGTATCTATTAAATACAAAATCAAAAGTTTGGCCGTTACTTTAAAAAAATTCATAAACTCATTAGATACCAATCTTAAGATTTAGACACTAAACATATAATTTAACCTACCTTGGGTTGTATTAATAAAAACATAAGTTAAATAATTAAAATAAACATATGTGCCTTTTGGGCCTATTTTTTAGTAAGGCATTTGTACTTTTTTTTCCTTTTTATTATCATTAAAGATTCTTGAATCTAGCCAACTTAATCAGAGTGGTCTTCAAATTTGCATCCACTAATTATACTTTAAAAAAATCTTGAATCTCATAACAATATGGGCCATTTTTTCTTTTTCTTGTCTTTTTCCATCCCCTATCATCTAATTCATCAACTTTGGTCCATTCCATCTGTCCTTGATCTCATTCTTCATCTATAGATTTTGGCTCGATTTGATGAGGGTTTTTTTTTTTTTGTTTGACTTTAAATTTGATTTTCTCCCCCCTTGTAGTTGGCCGAGAGAGAAAAAAAAAAGGATTATAACTCAAAAACCAAGTGAAAGAAAAAAAAAATTATGAAGTGATGTGAGTGAATAAAATAGATATATTTTAATAATTTTTTAAATAGATGAAAAATGTGTCCGAGGGGAATGATTTAACTTCAAATTGGCCAAATGTGACAGATGCTAATGGTTCATAATTCATAGACCTAACTTCTATTTTGATTTCTGAATTTTGAAGATTTCTAATTTCGTCTTGCAAATCTTGTTTAGAAAAAAATAAATATCTATTTTATTTCTAAAGTTTCAAAATTACTTTATTTTAGTCCTAAAATTTCTAATCTTGCTATTATTCTACCACCTAATATTCGTCCAATGATCAATATTCTCTGTTAACGTATATGACTCGAATGCATATAGGTACATTATTTGGTTTTTAAGCAACTTTTTTTTTTCCTTGAAACTGCTTTTTAAGAAACTAATGGTAAAACAACAACAAAAATCAAAATGATTATTTTTTTTTTAAGTTTTGAGATAAAAATAGATACTTTCAAAGTTTGGAAACTAAAATAGATATTTTAAAATAGTTCACTGTGCCAAAATAGGATTGTCTTAAAATTTTAGGGACAAAAATGAAATTTAAATACTTAACGAGTGGATTATGTTTAACATTTAATCTTTAAACTTAGGAAAACAAAAATCAATTAAATCAATATGAACTTTTGATTATATATCTCTATGTTTAAAGATACTAGCTTTGGGCCTACAGCACTATACTCGAGAACATAAAATTAAATCGTCTAATATTCTCAATTAAACGAAAAAATTCAATTAAATACTTTACAAACTATTATGAATCTCTTTTTTTTCCCCTTAAAAGTAGAAAATTAGGTTAAAGCCTAAGGTGGTTGATTATAATTTTCAAAAGGTCAATAATTGAGGATAATGGGGTGTGTGTGTGTGGATCAGAGAAAAAGAGAAGAATAAACAGGCGACTGTTGCAATAGGTCACTTTTGTGGTTGATAAATGTCATTTTCTCCTTTTATTAGTACCGGTATTACCGGTTGAATTTTGTATCTTATGATGACGTATAACGTGTGCCATCTAGAAAAACACTCACATCCATCCACTTGCTTTATGGATGCCAAATGTCGCTTTCTCATTAGTTATATTTATTTTTGTTGGAAGAGGAAATTCAACCCTAGGCAAATAGAGGCAACTGAAACAAAAAAAAAAATCCGAGTGGAAATGTTATTTGGTAAGATTGTAATTTTTCAACTATATTCAAAGATGAAGATGAAGGAAAAATGGAGGAGTTATCTATAATAATAAAAAAAAAATAAGTAAACAAATAAAATAAACTTTTTATATCATCATCTCGTAAGGCAGTGAATATGTAAACATAGTTGGTATCTAATTAATACTAATGAAACAAATGTTAAGTTATTTAAACTTTAATCGCTGTATTTTTTTTACGAGGATTCTTCTCTATTTAGTTGATTTTGCAAAATATGACGTACAAATAGCTAAACGGAAAGTAGAAAGATATACAAACTAGAAACCACCCACCTCATTTTTGCCTAATCAACATCATTTAAAATGGGGACCTTCAAATAAAACATAATATTACTTGTAAAAATTGTAAACAGTATGTAGGTTTACTCCCGTCCATCAAAAAAAATTTCCTAAAAGAATGTTTATATGTTACTTCAAGAGAATGATATCTTGTGGTTGTTGGTGTCACTTTTCTCGTACCTACTTCTTTCGTTCACACTATGATTTGACTTTTATAAATAATATTAATATGCATTGGACTCCACGTCATTTTAATATGATGGTTGACTTGATAAGTAGGGAATGAAAAAGATATATATACCATAGAAAATTTTCTTTGGTCTCGTTTACATCCTGCATCATCCATTTAGTAAAACAATAAGAGTTAATAACTCTTACGTTTAAAGAGTTAATTAAATTTCATCTAAATTAGACATAACCATCAAAATTATTCAAGAACTAAATCTATAAATTAGCCCAAACAAAGTGACCAGGAAAAAGAAAAGGTAAAGAGAGGAAGAGAAAAATTAAATTTAATGTGAAATATTTTCACAATATAATTAATTAATGCATTAGCTTTCAATAAAATCTACAACTACACACACAAATACATATAATTATTATTCTTTTCTTTTCTTATAATTTAATTTAATTTTCGCATTATTATTTTAAATTACAGCAAAATACATTTCTTATGGGCACTATTTTTACAGCAACGGCCTGGCAAGGCTCAGATGCTGCAAAATTGTAATAATCTTAATCCGGGTGTATATTGGGGGGGGGGGTATTTTCGTCTTTTACGTTTTAAATTCTTTTTTATTTTATTTTAAAATTCTAAGAGAAGTCCTCCCATCGGAGACCGGTACGGCGTTCCCTTCCTTCTCCTGGCGGTTCTGTGAATCGCCACCGTGGGGGGCGGCGTCGACGGCGAGAAGCTTCGGAGTTTGGTTCTGAGTCTTCTTCTGTTGGCGGTGGCGGTGGCGGTCTTGGATTTCTCGGTGTCGGAGCTTCTGTTTTCCACCGCCTTCAACTTTCTCTCCAAACTCTTTGATGTCCCAATAAGCTGTATTTATGGCCAATAAATTCACTTCAGAACATTAAATAATCTTAAATAGACTCTTTTTTTTTTTTTTTTAACTTTCAAAGTCCTTAAATATTTGACTTTGTCTAAAGAAAACTACGAACCTATTAAAACTTAAAATTAAATAAAACAAAATATACAGTGGATTTTTTTGTTGCCTTTTCTCTTTTTTAAGATATTACACAATATATCATAATTCAGTTTAATTTTAGTATTGTCTAAGTAATCAAATTACGTTTCATTATTTAGTTATAATTTAACATACATAATCAACCACGACTCTGATATTAAATTTTATGTAATTTTATTAGCATAAATATAAATGGGGATTGGAATTCATAGTCTCATTTATATCAATTATTGTTGAGCTAAGTTCAAAAAACAATTTAAGAATTAAATTATAATTACCTTTTGGGTGAAGGGGTAGATTTTGTGATTTTCTTTCGCATTTAATGAAAAATTAATTGATTTTAGTGATGGAGCAGTTGCAATAATATTTATAAACCAAAAGTTTGAAACTACACTCTGATTATGACCATCCTAATAGTTTTGGAGGAGACTCTTTTGGGCAAACTCCCTCTTCACCAGAAAAAGAAAAAAGAAAAGTGAAAATGTCAACATTATTGTTACATTTAGTATATTTTTTTTAACCTTTTTTTTTACACAATGGAAACTATATACATGTAACTAGTCAATTAGAATGTTTAGGGGTGAAAAAGAAAATTGAGACCACACTATTTTATAATAGTTAATTGAAAGTTACACTCTTATAATTTATCTATATTGCAATCCACACCCTTGTATTTTGAGAGTTTTTCCAAACACTCTATTGATATGTAAATCTTATATATATGTCATATAATTTTTGGTATTCTTTTATCAGTCAAAATTTAATGTAGTCAATGACACATAAAATAAGTCATCGTATGGTGGAGATGGAGTTAAAGATAATTATTAATATGAAGGAAAAAGAATTAAGAGGGAACAAGAGAGAAAAACCTTGCAACCGAGAGAGCAGAAGAGGAAAGAATCAAGAAGGGTACGGTGGCAGACGTGGCAGGCATTGGTGGCAGCTTTGGCAGTGGTGGCATTGGGAGGACGTGGATGAGGGTGAGGGCGGTGGTTCAAGAACACAATTCTGGCGCTGTTTATGATGTAAGTCTGGACTCCTGTTATGTCCACAAATTTCTGTATCTCACACACCCTTATCACATCATGGTACGATGACCTTCTTATCTATCATCCATTCATAATTCCACATTTTTCATTATTACTACCACTTTTTTCAAATGAATGTTAACAAAGTTTCCAAGAGTTTTATTTATTTATTTATTTTACTTTTAATTGACTGAACTCCTCCTAAATTTAAGAAATTTCAGGTTTCAATTTAATCCTGTAGATATCTATATCCGATCAAAATATCGCAAGTTTAAATTCTTACCCTTGCACATTTTACTCATAAAAAAAATATCATGTACATGAACTAAAATGTAATACATTCACACCAAATTAATAATTATTTTAAGCAATTCCTCGTATAAAAATCTAGGTAGATTTAAAAAAAAAAAAAAGATAAAAACAATATTTTAGTAATATGTACTAAAATTGTTTTCATTCACTATTTAAATTAAGGTAAATTATAAATTTGTTTATTAAATTTGTCCTTGAATTTTAGGAAATTTCAATCCCATCTTTAAACTTTGAATTATTATTCTATTCTATCTATGTCCGAGACATTATAAATAGAGTATCAACCCATTATATCTATTGGATAAATTTTGATTAATTTCGTATAATACGAAAGACCAAGAATAAAAATGAGTAAAAGTATTCATCTTCATACTACTTTATCAATTTTACTGTTCCCTTATTTTTGTCAACCGACAACCGACATTTATCCAACACGCGTAACATGTAACATATCAAGATTAAGTATCAATAACAACAACCAAAACTAAATACAATTATAATTCAAAATTTAGATTATTAGACCTTCAAAAGTTGTTTTCCTCCAAAAATCAATAACTTTAAGCAGTAATTTTCGCTTCTTCAAACAAATATTTCATAATTCTTTTTTTTAATAACTTTTAACCACACAAAAAAAAAAAGTAACTTTTTGAAATCGTTAACAACCAACCATACCAAATTTGCCTTTTTAACATTTAGAAAAAGAGAAGGGAAAAAAAAAGAATAAAACAATAAAATAAAAGATAAAAGAGTCTTCACAGTTTATATAGTTAGGATCATTTTGGCTTCTTGCGGTTAGTAGGTCACGAACAGTAATTTTCAAATTGGCTTCATCCCAAAAAGAAAATAATTCGATCTTTCAAAAATCAAAAAGGCATTTGATCCAATAATTGAAGTTCTTCGTGATCACGAGCACGAATCTGATCGAAGAATCCAAAGAAATTACAGAAGAAGAAGAAGAGAGTACCTGAATTGCTCTGTGATCTTTGTGAGAAGCAAGACAGAGCGAACAGAGAGCTCCGTTCATGCAATCCAAGCAATACATATTGCATTCGCTTTTGTGCGAATCGGCGTGGAGTTTGCATTGGACGAAGAAGCTCGTGCCGAGAAGAGGTTCCAGCCATGGCGGCCATTCGATTTCTCCTCCTTCTCGGCTTTCTTCTTCTTCGTCTTCTTCCTCCTCCTCGTTCTGATCGTCTTCATCTCCTCTTCCCTAATTCGATACAAAACAACAGCAATTCTCAGAAAAGAAAAGAAAAAGCGTGATCGGAGAAATTCGGAAATCGGTATAAACGGAAGTTAATTTCGAATGCTCACCATGATTTTTCGATTGCGGCTGGATTTCTCTTATCGATCACGAATTGGAGATAGCAGAGCAGGTTCTTGAACTTTTTCCCCCTCTCGGATCGCTTTTTCTGTGAGGAATTTTCTCGGGAAAGTGACAGAGAATATGGAAAGGGCAGAGAAGCGTAGGGCTATGGAGCAATGCCTTTTTGGTTTGGTTGGTGGTGCGGAATCCGCCTCTATCTTTTTGCTCAAAAGTCCGAACCCGAACCTCACTCCGAACCCGAACCTAAAGGGGATACGTTTACTTCAAGTAACTTGACTTGACATTTTCTCTTTTCCAAGTGTTACTTCTCGTTATTATTTATTTCTCCTCTTAAGCCTTTCCATTTTAATGTGGAAAGTATAGAACATATGTAAAATTAATTAAAATTGATGGAGTTTTGACATTTGGACATTTTTCTTTAAATCTCTGTTGATACCAAAACTAGATGAAAGCAAGCAATCCAATTAATCTCTTAAAAAGCTCGGGTCGACACTCTTAATCTACTAGAGTGTATCAAAATGGTGGAATGATTTTTATCTTTGTAATATCTTGTATATATATACGATTTACTTTGGGTATATACTATATTCTATTACTATATATATGAAGGCGAGTAGGAGTATGATGATATACTATATATAAATTGAGACTCAATTATAATTCTCAATGAATAATCAACTCAATATTTGTGATGTTGTTGTTGGGTAAATATACACTGTATATATGAACTGTGTAGTACTGACAAACAGATTACAACGTAACTTGCTACAAATGATATAAATTTGAACAACTTTATGAACACCAAAACTTGATAAAATAGTCGAGGCACGCTTCAGTAGCGCTGACCTGAAGATAATTATTCGCTTTGCACAAGTTGCTAGCAGACTACAGCGATCGTCTCAGTAGGATACAACAACTAACTCTGGTAGAACAGCAACCTCAAGCTACTCGGATCTGGCAAAACTCTTAGATATTTGCTTTCAACACAAACAAGAACAAGAACTTAGAAAGAAGAGAGAATTCTTGTGAGAGGAGGAAAATACTTAATTGAGGTATGCTTGGATATCTCAAAATGAAGAAATCTACAACTATATACAGTTGTACAAACAAGTAACCTCCCACTCAAAATTAAACACATATGTAAAATTTTTACATATATTACTATGTAACTTTAACACATATATTTGTAACTTTAACAAAATAATAAAATAACTTAAAATTTAATAAAATAAAGAAACAAAACCACTATAATAATAAATAAGAATAATATTCACAACGTATATGTGAATAATTTCTTTTAAGTTTCATTTTCTTTCACACCTTAAAAAACAAAAAATCTCCCACATGAGAGAAAGTGAGATAGACAAAACACGATCAAGACGTTGAGAGTAGATAGATAAGTTATGCATCAGGAGATGTGTCTTTTGTACTTGAACATTCCTTAGTGAATATCAATCGAATTTATCGAAGAAATAGTGAGAACTAGCTCTGAAACTATCCTTCTCGTGATAAATTGAGACAACAAATATCACACATAACTTATCGTGTATCTTTGAGTTCTATACGGTTGTGTCCATTTTGGTCCTGGACAAAATCTTGAATTCATGAGAGCTTTGGAGAACATAAGCTATTTGAAAAGTTCTCCTAGAATCGACCAAATTCTACTCTCACATAAGTGATATTGATTAAGAGTATTATGCCACTACTCTTCTTATAAGAAAGATATCAATATGACCTTAACATCAACATATCACACACATAGCATAACATTATAGAAATGGGAAGAAACTATAAATTTCTTAGAGTGTCAACTATGAATTTTCCAGCCAGTTTGTCTATTGAACCTAGATCTTGGAATCTCTAGTCAACTAGGTTAGGTTACCACCAGATACTTCATTTCATAGGCTTTAGTCTCATTTCCCTCGATGTATATGCAACTTAACTCTCTTGACAATCCTTTCGTCAAAGGATCTGCAATATTTTCTTTTGATTTTACATCATCAATGTAAATTATTCCATTAGAGAGCAATTGCCTGATAGAATTATGCATGCGTCTTATGTGTCATGACTTCCCATTGTAAACATTATTCTTAGCTCTCGTTGAGGCTGCTAAGCTGTCACAATAAATACATATGACACTTACAGGCTTCAGCTAAAATGGAATATCTTCAAGAAAATTTCGAAGCCATTCTGCTTCTTCTCCAGCTTTATCAAGAGCTATAAACTCTGATTTCATAATAGACCGATAACACGTCTGTTTTGAAGATTTCCATGACACAGCTGCTCCATACTATCAGAGATCCAGTTAGCATCACTAAATCCTTCCAGTACATATGGATATTTCGTATAATGCAATCCATAGTCTAAAGTGTACTTCCAGTACTTTAAAACTTTGACTAATGCATTCCAATGATCATGCCTAGGATTGCTAGTGTATCTTGCCAAGCTTCCTACTGAATAGGCAATATCAAGTCTTGTACAATTCATTATGTACATTAAACTACCCACAACTCTAGAGTATTCTAAAGAAGATACACCTTCACCATTATTCTTCTTCAACTTAGAATTTGGATCAAACGGAGTAATTACTGGTCTATTCTCAAAATGACCAAATTTTCTCAACACTTTCTCTAAGTAATGAGATTGAGAAAGTATATATCCACTTGGATTTCTTATTATTTTAATTCTAAGGATAACATCAGCAAGACCAAGGTCTTCCATATCAAAGTTGGAATTCAACATCCTTTTAGTGGAATCAATGACACTTCTACTTGTGCTCATTATCAACATATCATCCACATATAAACAAACAATGACGCAATCTTGATCTGTAGTTTTAACATAGACACATTTGTCACACTCATTTATCTTAAATCCATTAGATAACATAGTGTGATCAAACTTCTCATGCCATTGTTTGGGTGCTTGTTTCAACTCATAAAGAGACTTGACAAGTTTACAAACTTTATTTTCAAGTCTTTTTATAACAAACCCTTCAGGTTGTTCCATATAGATTTCTTCATCTAAATCTCTATTTAAAAATGAGGTTTTACATCCATTTGTTGTATTTCCAAATTTTGTAAAGTTGTTATAGCAATTAACATCCTTATAGATGTAATCCTCATCACTGGAGAATAGGTATCAAAGAAATCTAGCACTTTTTTCTGACGATAGCCTTTAGCTACTAAACGAGCTTTATATTTATTAATAGTGCCATCATCCTTTAGCTTTCTTTTGAAAATCCATTTACTTCCAATTGGTTTACTTCTAGGAGGTAAATCAACCAATACCCATGTATTGTTTTGCAAAATGGATTCTATCTCACTATTGGTAGCTTCTCTTCAATAAGGTGCATATGGAGATGACATAGCTTCTTGAAAATTTTGAGGCTCCTCATCTATCATATATGTTATGAAATCATGTCCAAAGGAAGTAGCTTTCTTAGCTCTTTTGCTTCTTCTAGGTTCGATCTCAGTTTCCTGATCAATTTGACCTTTTGAAAAGCTAGCCTTATGATTCCTTTTGACACCATTATCTTTCAGTCTTTCTTCTTTAAAAGGAAATATATCCTCAAAGAATTCAGCTTCAATAGATTCCATGATAGTATTATTATTAATATCAGGTATTTCTGATTTAATTACCAGGAATCTATAAGCAGTACTATGCATTGCATAGCCTATAAAGACATAATCAACTGTCTTAGGTCCAAGTTTTGTCTTTTTTGGTAAAGGAACGTGTACATTTGCCAAACACCCCCACACTTTCAGTATTCTATATGAGGGTAACTTCTTTTTCCACACTTCATAAGGTGACTTATTAGTCTTCTTATGTGGAATTTTATTTAAGATAAAATCTGCTGTAAGCAAAACCTCCCCCCACAAATGATGGGGTAAACCTAAACTATTTAACATGCAATTAACCATGTCCTTCAAAGTTCGGTTCTTTTTTTCAGCTACACCATTTTGTTGTGGTGTATAAGGTGTCGTAGTTTGATGGATTATACCATTTACTTTACAGAATTCAGAAAGTGATGATGATTCATATTCACCACCTCTATCTGATCTAAGCACTTTTATTTTCCTCTCAAGTTGATTTTCAACTTCTGCCTTATATGTTTTGAAAACATCTAAGGTCTCATTTTTACTATGTAATAAATATACCTAGCAATATTTACTACAATCATCAATGAATGTGACAAAGTATCTCTTAGCATCCCTTGTGGGAGTACTTTTAAATTTACATACATCACTGAGGATTAAATCAAGTAACTCATTACTTCTTTCCACAGATGAAAGTGACTTTCTAGAAAACTTTGATTAAACACAAACTTCACATTTGTGTCTATTATCAATGTTAAAATTAGGCACTAGTCCTAAACTTACCATTTTTTGTAAAGAATGATAATTGACATGCCCCAGTCTAGAATGTCATACATCACACAACTCAACAATATAAGCAGAAGAGTTGTTATTATTATTATTGTTCTTGGGCACTTGTACTAGTACATTCAATTTGAACATGTCATCATTTAGATAACCATGTCCTACATACATACCCCCTTAGTTAATATAAACTTATCTGACTCAAATGCAAGTTTGAACCCATTTTTGTTAAGTAGGGTTCCTGACACAGATTCTTTCGAATCTCTGACACATGTCACACATCAGTGAGGGTAAGTATATTTCTAGAAGTCAATTTTAGCAAGACTTTTCCTCTGCCTTCCACTGAGGCTGTTGAAGCGTTTCCCATGTACAGTTTATCACTATCATCTAGCTTCTCATAGGTGGTGAACAGTGATTTGTCCCCACAGACGTGCTTAGTAGCATCAGTATCAATCCACCAACCTTTGGTGTCAGAGGCCATATTTACCTCAGAGATGGCAGAAATTAAATTGTCATCTTCCATATTGTTGGCCTGGTTGTTGGAGCTTTGTCCTTTCTTGTGTCTACCGTTTGCAGCTATATGGCCACTTTTGCCACAAACCCAGCAGATTGCACGAATGCGCTTGTTAGCATCATTCCTTGGCCCAAAATTCTTTGTCTTGGATTGGTTCTTCTTGGGATGACGCCTTGAAGCTTCAACAATATGTGCTTTAGCTTCAAATTTCTGTGGCTCTTTATCCTCCTTTCTGTTGTCCTCTTCAATGCGGAGTTTCACAGTAAGATTTTCCATGGACAACTCCTTTCGCTTGTGTTTGAGATAATATTTGAATTCTCTCCAAGCAGGAGGCAATTTCTCAATCACAGCAACAATTTGAAATGGTTCATTAATAACCAATTCTTCACTTTGCAAATCACTGGTGATAATTTGCAATTCTTCCAACTGGTTGATTACCAACTTGGTATCAATCAGTTTATAATCTAAGAATTTTCTAACAAGGAATTTCTTAGTACCAGCATCTTCCAGCTTATACTTCTTGTCTAATGCCTCCCACAATTGTCTTGAAGTATCAAAAGCATTGCAGTAAACATTATGCAAGGTATCATCCAAGCAACTCAGGATGTAGTTGCAACATAGAAAGTTTGAATGCAAGCACGCTTGCTTGACAGCTTCAGTTTCAAGAGTGATTGCTTCTAGGGGAGTAGTTGGGCATACCTCCTTTAGGATGTGAGCAAGGTTCAAGGTGGTGGGGTAGAAGATCATCTTCTGTTGCCATCTTTTGAAGTTTTCTCCCTTGAACTTCTCTAGTTTTTCAGCGTGAGATTTGACAATGGTCGATCCCATCATGGAAGGAGCGTTGGCAGAAGTGTTTGCAGCCATGTTAATTGTCTTCAGATTGTTGGGTAAATATACGCTTTATATATGAACTGTGTAGTACTGACAAACAGATTACAACGTAACTGGCTACAAATGATATAAATTTGAACAACTTGATGACCACCAAAACTTGAAAAATAGTCGAGGCCCGCTTCAATAGCGCTGACCTGAAGACAATTATTCGCTCTGCACAAGTTGCTAGCAGACTACAACGATCGTCTCAGTAGGATACAACAACTAACTCCGGTAGAACAGCAACCTCAAACTACTCAGATCTGGCAGAACTCTTAGAAACTTGCTCTCAACACAAACAAGAACAAGAACCAAAAAAAAGAGAGAGAGAGAGAGAGAAAATTCTTGTGAGAGGAAGAGAATACTAAATTGAGATATGCTTTGATATCTTAAAATGAAGAAATCCACAACTATATACAGTTGTACAAACAAGTAACCTCTCACTCAAAATTAAACACATTGTAACATTTTTACACATGTTACTATGTAACTTTAACACATATATTTGTAACTTTAACAAAATAATAAGATAACTTAAAATTTAATCAAATAAAGAAACAAAACCACTATATTAATAAATAAGAATAATATTCACAATGTTTATGTAAATAATTTCTTTTAAGTTTCACTTTCTTTCGCACCTTGAAAAACCAACAGTTGTGTCCTTCAACATGGGTGAAAGTGGTTAGACCGTTCGAATTTAAACTTATCATCCTGGAGACATGACTAAATGAAGAGTTGATCTTACAAGATAAAATTTCTTTAATTATTTATTTATTTATTATGATCTATGAAAGTTAATAAGTAATTAGCTTTACTTGCTAGTTTGAGATTTATATAATACCAAACGAGGTAACCGTTTTTTCATTGGCTCTAAAATGACTTAGTTTATAAATTTGCTCATAAACAGATTGTTCATACAAAATCAATGTTGGTTAAGAGATAAAATATAATTAATTAATACAGGAGTAAAATAAACTTTTGGCCTAACTATAAGAATTATGAATCACTTGAAAAGGGCCAACTTTTATGAAGTGATTTACATGTGAATATATTCAATAATAATGTGAGTATTTATGCATTAACTAGTTGATTAGCTATACTTAATTTCCAGGATTTGTAACATTAGAAACCTATTATATCCTAATGCCTCTTTTCTATTGGATAGGTTTTTTTTTTTTTTTTTTTTTCCTTCCTCCAATCCCAACTCTTTGGAAGAGGATCACTTGGATGACAACTCTATAACTAAAGAAATATATAAAACATTCATAGCCTTTTCAAAATCACATGGCTATTGGGCATTGGCTAGTACTAGTTTGGTCAACCCTAATCATTTTTCCCATAGCTTTAGTTTGCCTTATCCAAAAATAGGCTTCAAATTATGGGCTAGACTCCAAAATCTCTCAAGACCTCAAAATGGGCTAAATGCACAAGCCTAATTAGATTTTTTTTTTCTTTCGCTACATAATTTGAACAAGTATTCCTTTAATGTATTTTAAAATATTTGCAATAAATGTAATATTTTACTAAAAGAACAATATATTGAATTCAACGTTATACTTAATATGATGTTTTTTTTTATACTAAAAACGAGAGGTAAACAAACATTATAGAAGCTCATCCAAATATTCCATTTATAAACAGCACTTCAACTCGAAAGGCCACTCTTCCATCCATACAGAAACCTCACAAACGAGGAGAGCCCGACAAGCCAATAGGTGAGCCGCTTTATTACCCTCCCTCCTCACGAAATTGAAACTTACATGTAAATTTCGAGCAAATGATGTTAATCATTGCTTCCCCACTTATTTCTCTTATTAAGGCCAATTTTTTTCAAAACACTATAATTATTATTATTAGTAATAAATATCAATTGAAAGTTGAACACTCCAAGCAAAAAAAAAAAAAAACAACTTCAAGTACATTAAAATGTGACATTGACATTGAAATTCATGCCCTCTACTAAATAAAAGAAAAGGTGTTCTATTTCAATAATTTACTTTAAATTTATTTATTCTGTATTTGGCGTTCATATTATATGTTTTAATAGTTATAATTTCCTATGTTCTTGATGTAGCACTAGATATTGGATGATTAGGTAGTGTACACCCTTTTATATAGTAAGTGGAAATTCCTAATCATAAAAGTTGATCTAGTACGGTAATTCCAATCAGTGGTACAAAATAATTTTTTTCTTCCTGTTACATGCTTGATTTTGTAGCTGAGCTTGGACATTAGCAAGCTCATTAGCTAAAGTATAAAATTAAAGCCAAGATAAACTTTAGCTCTTAATCAAGGTTATCTTTATTAGTTTCTTCTTGAGAGGTGGGAAGTTCACTACTTCAAAATTGAATTTTTGCAAAAAGATAAAAAGAAATAATAATAATAATAATAATAATAATAATTAAGAGCATATTATCTCATCCTTTCATAAGATTACAATTTAATAAATATTAAAAATGCAAAACTCTGAAGCCTTATCACGTGACCCGCGACCTCCCACGACAATGACTAGTATCATCAAGCTCAAATGAAAAATCAAAGTCGGGTGATTCTAAAAGCCCAAACTAAAAAATTGATGTGTGGAGTAGATCAATTGTTTATTGACCGTTCATTTAGTAATATTTCTATTTATTGAGATTTTAATTTCTTTTAGATACACAAACATTTCACAATTGTTATTAGTTTTTTGTTCTTATTTTAAAGGAAAAATTTTCAAAATTGTGTAGAAATTTTGAAAACAACAAAATAAAGTTT